TGTTCCATTCACTGTCCCTTGGATGCGGTTTTCGTAACGACTGCGCTCTCGTTAATACCGCAATTCGAACAGCGCTAATCGATATCGGTACTTCACCGTCTCCACCCGATTCGGGTGGAGGCTCTGAGCGTAGGGCTATGAGTTCATGCAGCATATTGCCCTGTTTATCAGCACTTGAAATTGCTCGCTCATGATCAGGCCTTCTGGATAAGCCATCAGCGGGGTTTTTCTTGCCTGCCCTCCATTCAATACGAAAATTGAATGCTGCTAGGTCTTCTGCCCAGCGTGTTTGTCTCTTTCGAGCCAACACCTTTGTATCCATAAAGTGGGTCAGCGCTTCATGGTCAGTGACCACAGTCACTGTCTTAGAGGGGGCTTCCAGGTAATGCCTCCATTCCTTGAATGCGTGTACAATCGCTAGCATTTCCTGGTCACCCGTAGAGTACCGAATTTCCTCAGGTTTATATTTGCGGGAGTAGAAGGCTATAGGTTTCCAAACGGACAAAGGTTCCTTACCCGTTTCAGGTGAGGGAACAGTGACCTTCTGGGATAATATACCTCCTAGTCCACTGCCAGAGGCATCGGTCTCCACTCTTACCTCTAGGTCTGGATCGTAATGATGGAGTAGAGGGGCTCTTTCAAAGCGCTTCTTAAGCTCTTGAAAAGCCTCATCTGCTTTTAGGGTCCATTCCAGAGGGCCCTTCTTCACGCCATGCTTCATTCCCTTTAGCAGGTCTGTAATTGGCGCCACCACTCTTGAGAAATCACGGATGAAGCCCCTGTAGAAATTGGCAAACCCTAGGAATATCTGGATATCCCTAAATGTCTGGGGGGTAGGCCATTCTCGGATGGCTACCACTCTCTGAGGATCCATTGAAACTCCTTCCTCATTGACGATGAAGCCTAGGAATGCCACTTCTCTTGCATGGAACTCGCATTTACTGAGTTTGATGAAAAGCCGTGATTTCCGGAGTCTTTCGAGCACTTGTTTGACATGATCCTCGTGTTCCTTCTCTGTTCTGCTAAAGATTAGGATATCGTCCATGTATGCAATGCAGAAAACGTCTAGCAAGCCCTTTAGGGACTCGTCCACGTATGCCTGGAAGGTAGCTGGGGCATTCGTCAGCCCAAAAGGCATCACCAAGTACTCGAACTGCCCATATCTGGTGCGGAATGCTGTTTTCCACTGGTCCTCTGCCTTAATGGGGATCCTATGGTAAGCATCTCGCAGATCTAGCTTTGTAAAGAGTTTTGCTCCTGCTAGGCGATCAAGGATCTCAGATATCAAGGGCAATGGATAACGGTTCTTGATCGTGACCTTATTCAGCCCTCTATAGTCCACACAGAGGCGAAGTCCTCCGTCTTTCTTTGGGACAAATAGAATGGGAGCCCCAGCAGGTGAGATACTTCGTCGAATCCACCCTTTCATTAATGCATTGTCGAGGTATTCCCTTAGAGCCTCGAGTTCTCTACCACTCAAAGGGTAGATGGGCCCATAGGGTGCTGTTGTGCCTGGCGTGAGATCAATTGCATGCTCTACCTTCGACACTGGTGGAATTTGAGCCTCGCCCGGATCTAATGCCACGTCGCTGTAGCTAGCATAAAGAGAAGGCATACCTCCGTCTTTGCTCAATGCAAGAGTTCGGAGGCGGGTGAAACACTGCCCCACCCGATTCGGGTAAGAAACCCTTTGAGATTTCTCTAAAGGTTGATACCACATGATGTAGATTTCATCCTTCTCTTGAATAAGCTCTTGCGCTGTGATCATGCTAATTCGGGTTTGGCGGTCTGGATCTCTCACTGCCCAGGTACCATCTCTGAAATTGATGTCGGGATTGATTGCTTCGAGCCAGCGCATACCGAGTATTATGTCGAATCCCTCGATATTCGTAGACAATAAATTGAGTCTGGCCTTAGTAGTCCTCCCCCGGTCATCAATGGCCTGAACCTCGAGGCTGTGACGGCCGTAAATGGTGATCTGCCGACCATCCACAGCCTTCCCAAATACATCTGGTGGAACGCCTTTCAAACCAAGCCTAACAACAGTTGTCTGTGAGATGAAGTCGTCCTGTGCCCCACAGTCCACAAGGGCCCGCAATCGATGCTTCTCGCCCTTTACTCGGACTATTACTTGAATGCTCACACAGCGTTGCTCCAATGCGCCGTGTCTCGCAGACTGAATGTGCCCCAATGCGGTAGCTGCGTTTACCACATTGGTATCTATTTTTTTGTACCCTTTTCAGGGCAATCCCGTACTAGATGCCCTTCCTTGTGGCAATTGTAGCACTTAGGAACAAACGAGGACGTTGATTTTTCTCCCTGCTTAGCTTTGGGCTCAGCTGACACGTTTAGCGAACTGGATGTGTTTTTTCCCTCCCGATTCGGGTGGGAAGTTCTATTCCCACTTCCTGTTACAGCCATCGATGTCTTTTGCTTTGGGAGCTCATTTCTTTTTCCTAAAGCATCCTTCTCCTTGGCCTTGCCCTTTTGCTCATTCGCGAAACGTGTCTCATGGCGACAGGCGGCCGTAAGGACAGTATCCCTATTGAGACGTACCTCCTGTGGCTCTGCCATAACTGCGTTACGAATATTGGGCTGTAGACCGTGAAGGAAACGCCACATCTTTTGCTCGACTTCCGTGAGCCTTGATGCCTCCACCTCGGCCTCTGCCTGCTCTAGTTCATGTAAGTACTGACGAACACTCTGTTCTTTCCATTGCTTTCTGAACTGAGCAGCATAAGTGGCCTCAAAAGTGCGAGTTTGAGGGTCTTTGATGGTGCCTCGAAGGAACGTGAGGAATTCCTCCCAACTGGCGGGCACGTTGCGTTGTCTATAATATGCCTGACGAGGCTCTCCATCTAGCCAGGTTGCCGCCGTTTGGATGGCCCGCTTAGCCACCTCAGGGTCTGTTAGGTCCTGGTGGTAGGACTCGAAATACATCTCGATGCCCATAATAAACTCGGTTAAGGCCTGGTAACTGCCCCCATTAAAATGCTTCGGGGGGTCCGCCTTAAAGATTTTCGCGTAGCTAGCCAAATCATCTGTGGCTAGTCGCTTATTATTCCCACCCGATTCAGGTGGGAGACTTCGAGAATATGCTGCAGTCTCTTGCATTAATCTCTGTTCCACACTGAGAGTACCCCCTCTCCGTAGGTAATGGATTCGGTCTATTTGTTCTCGCCGTGTCCTTTCTCTTTCAAGCCTGGACAGTTCGGCCTGTAATTGTTCATCATCCATTTCTTCGAGGTCACTCACGTCCGTAGGCGTGAAAATGGGGTGTCGCGGGTCTGCAGGGCCCGCAGTGGTCGCAGGGTCTTCATCGACGGTCCCCGACGAGACCTCGGGCGCCCCATTGTCTCGGGGCGATGGGGGGTTCATTCTCACCTGATTCAGGTGGGAACTTACCCTAGTAAGGATGGTTTTTTGGGGGTCTCCCTAGAATCGCATGCAGCTACTGCTAGCTCGACAGTGCCACTGCGTGATAGGCAAGCGTTGAGAATTATCAGGGACCTACGCAACGCAGTAGGTACAAAGGAATTGGAGTAGCTGAATGCCTTGTTCTATTCACGTAGCCCTATTGACAACGACTCAACGCTTGAGAAAAAGGAAGAGTTCTCTCTCAGCCGATTCAGGTGAGAGGAGACTCTTATAGCTTCCCCTCTTTCTGTCACGTGAAAAGGGTAAGGCAGCGTTAACCGATAGCCTTGTGCCTTAACCGTTCTTTGCCTTATCCTTTCCTTTTCTTTCTATACCGTCCACCCGATTCGGGTGGAGGGCGTAGAGTACTTGGGGACAACGGTGGGTTCGTGACATATTACTAGTACACTTCCCGCATGGGAGGCGCAATCTTTTCTCTTTTATACTTAGAGTCGTGTACAGTATTAATTATATACTATAGGGGTACCTTATATACGCTTATCGCTAGATTCTACCTACTTACTAAGGAATCTCTAATAATAAGTAGTCGATATTACTTAGAATAGTATAATTTAATAGTTAATATAAATTAGCTATAAAGAGAGTATAACTAGATAAGAGAAGAGAGCGTATCTATATATTTATACGGGCCTTCCGAATAAGGCAATATAGAATGGTTCGTGGTACACTAGTGCACTGATACGCTCCTCGTACTAGATTTTACTATTCCGACGTACTATACTTTTCTGTTCCGAGTGTTACGTGTTCTTTCTCAGCCTTGCCCTTAAGACTACCTAGTGTTCGGTTGAGTTTCCTTCTTAGTGTAGCCTACGTGTCCTCCGTGGCTTTCTAAGGCTGTGTCTAATAGTATAGTATTAACTATATATAGTTATATGCGAAATCAACGTCCTGTAGGGTACGAATAATTTCCTTTTTCAGGCACTGAGGCGAGTCTTTTAGAGTTCACACCTTACTGCGTTAGGTTAAGCCCTAAATAGACCTCTCTCAATGAGCTTCTAGTGTATGTTTGCGCCTTGAAATCCACGATACGTCGACAATAAACCTCTAGGTCATTGGAATGCAGCTTATTTTGTCAACACGTCGCAATCCTTAGACGAATCAGCGAAGTGGCTGCATGACGGCCGCAGTCAGAGCTGTTTCAGCCGCAGATCAGATTGATCTCGGCGGCTATTTCGCCTCTGCAATTGGCTATGTATTCCCGCGACTTTTGCGCCCAAACCCATTGTCAGCATGAGGCGTTTTCCGAGCTGCGTTCTTCGCCCATTCTTCAGGGTCTTTTACACTTACCTCACATCGGCGCACAACGCTAGGCTGCGCCAACTATAGCCTGAGTCATGCTCGCAGAAGACAATAGGCCATAAGCTGTCCTGACAATAAGGCAGCGAGCAGTGAGTCTCCAGCGTCTTACTGTCTCGAAGTACTTGATAAGTACGACGATCATTGTCCTCGATGCTCACAGCCAAAGGAAATCCCTGACAAAGCGATGCGGCTCCTTTATTCGAAAGGCGCTGGCAAGTACAGCCTCACTCGGGAATTTGCGGCTGACGAAGACGTTCCTGCATATGCGATCCTCTCACACACTTGGATTGATGGACAAGAGGTCACCTTCGAGGACGGGAAAGAGTGGCTATAGCAAGATAAACTTCTGTGCACAGCAAGGCAACAAGGATGGCTTGGAACACTTCTGGGTAGATATCTGCTGTATCGACAAGTCCAATCCTACTGAACTCCAAGAAGCTATCAATTCCATGTTCCGATGGTATCACAATGCTGCGAAGTGCTACGTATATTTGCTCGATGTCTCAAAGGCCGGTGGGAGGGATATGTCGCAACAAGAGTTTCGGCAGAGTCGATGGTTCACTCGACCTCTGTCTGAATTTGTTGAACAGCGTTTCTCCTGGATGCAACACCGCCGGACAACAGTAGCAGAGGACAAAGCGTATGCACTGCTTGGTATCTTTGGCGTTGAGATGAATCTGCGATATGGGGAAGGATATCCAAGTGCATCCAAACGACTTGAGGAAAAGATTGGTCAGCTAAACAGTTGTCTTCGTGATTTGCGTATCACGGATCCCCGTCACGATAAACAGCGAATCGAAGAGACCAAGGGTGGCCTACTTGACGGCGTATACCGGTGGATTCTTGAAAATCCTGACTTTCAAAAGTGGCGTGACAACAAGGAAGATCGCCTGCTCTGGATCAAGGGTGACCCAGGCAAGGGAAAGACGATGCTTCTCTGCGGCATCATCAATGAGCTGGAAAGTTCCATTAGCAGAATCGATTTGCTGTCATACTTCTTTTATCAAGCGACTGACTCCCGCATCAACAGTGCTACGTCTGTCCTGCGTGGATTATTGTTTATACTCATCAACAGACAACCACTGCTTATTTCCCATATCACGAAGAAGCACGATCTCGCAGGGAGAGCCATCTTTGAAGATAGTAACGCCTGGTTCGCCTTGACTGAAGTATTTATGAATATTCTTAAAGACCCTAGACTGACGAACGCTTACTTCATTATCGATGCACTCGACGAATGCAGGACTGACCTACATCGACTGTCATACTTCGCAGCTCTGCATTCAGTCCTCGACTATTTGGAGGTTTCATCGCACTCTCGTCCTGAGACCCAGCAGCGCTCACCTCGTCCTACGAACCCTGCACACTGAATTCTTTCGTACCAGACGACAAAGCATTAAGCACGGTTGTGCACGTGAGCTGGAATGGGGCAACAGAAGTCGCGACGTGGAATCTCCTGCACACCGATTTCTACGGCAAGTTCTCGGAACTCATAGCTTCTTCACCACGGCAGGGCTTTGAGACACAGATTCGATTTCAAGGCTTTGCCAAGCATGTCGTGCTCGTTGCTCTAGACATCAACGGCAAGGAGCTCGGCAGATCGAATGTCACCGACGCTGAAGTCCCTCCAGACTTGCAAAGCTTGTCGATTGCGTATAAAGAATCACAGTGGGTGGGAAATGCGCGAAATCAGCCCTTGTACTGGGAAGTACCTTACCAAGAAGCGAAGAGCAGCTTTTGGTCGAACTTTGAGTGGTTCACTCTGGGGAATACTATTTTGTGTTCTCATATTGTGCATCATTATCTTTATGGTCTTGAGGAGGAGCGGTATATTGAAGCCACGCAGAGAGTCGTGGTGGCGGACCGGACAGCAAAAGTATTCTGCCATCGCGCTTAGCGATGAGGCATTGGAGCAAAGCGAGATGATGTTGCGCAAGACGGGAGTAAATGAAGATTGAGATGTAGATTTCGTTGACTTCAAATACACACTTCTCCTGTTCGGAGGAGAGATTCTTCAGTAACACGCCCTGTCCTGTGGATGAGCCGTAGCCTGATCCCTAAGCGGCGTACCGACGATGTCGAAGCTGATTTTCCGCGTTATATGTCTGAGATCTTCGGGATCCATGTTGCGGCTATTGACACCAATCTCGTTTATGCTGTCTCGCTCGGGATACCAGAAACACCTACGGGCCCAGTTAGGCTTGGGAAATCAGACAGAATCACTCTCCCGCTTAGAAAGCTCACGCATAGAGGCGATGAGATGTGCATGAGTGAGAAGTCTTACATGCAGCCACAGTTATCACAAAAGTTGAAGGAGATGTCTCGATCGCCCCAGACGTACTTCTTTACATCGCCAGCTTTGTGCTTGTTAATGGTGACCTCTTCGGGTTTGTAGTATATCCATGCAGCTGCGTAGCGACGACAGATAGTGCATTGGCATTCATTGATCTCCTTCGGCTGATAAGGGACAATCACTTCGATCGCGCCGCAATGGCAGATTGATTTGAGGGGTGAGCTGGAAGATTGGTCCGCCATATTGAGCAAACCGCAGAAAAGAGAGTGATCAAGAGGCGATTTGTAATTGCAGCACTTCTTACTTCTTTACTGCTTCGCACATTTATATGGCAATAGCTACAGCGACTAGCCATTGCTATCCCCTTGAGACACGCCCTAGATCCGTACTCGCGAATTGTTGCTAGTGCAAGGCAACCTTAGGCAGCATATAGCAACTGGCCGCTAGCGCCCGCTCTTCTCCGCCAATCAGAGCCGCTACATTTCACTTTGCCAAACGCAAGGCTTTCATATGAATTCGAAAATCTGAAATGCCTCTCATTAGCACTCATGCGAGCAACATGGCTGGCGATGCGCCAGCGCCAGCCGCCAAAGTCTCGGATGTATTCAACACTTATCAACCCACCCGCCTCTTCAAAGCACCTGCAGGTGCAAATTACACATCGATCGACTTCAACGACTCTGGCGAATTCCTCCTCCTAAGCCGCACAGATGATACAATCCAACTCTTCAATACCAAAGCCGGTGCGCACGCAAAGGAATTGAATTGAAGAGTCAGAAATATGGCAGTGCGCTTGCACGATTCACACATCACGACACTTCCATGATCTACGCGAGCACGAAAGTGGACGATGGCATACTGGGTACGGTACCTGTCGATGCATGATAATAGCTTCATCCGCTATTTTAAAGGCTCATCGGTTCTAGCTCTCGTGCATCACCACGGGTCAAATGGATCATATCCAGCCGCAACCAGCCTGATATCGAGGAAGGACTGCAAAAAGCACAATCCAAAGTCCAAGTCAGCCTCCAGTTCAACTCTGCCTCCGTGTCAGCTGCTGTCCATTTCTACATCGAGCACAGTGTGCAGGAGCTATCACGCGCTAAACAGTACAAAGAGGTGGAAAGAAGGGATGTGATGAAACATTTGATCTCACCTGCAGCCGACACGTTTCTCTGGGTAGCCATCGTTTGCCTGCGTCTCCGCCAGGAACCCCGACGAAGACTGCGCGCGATCTTGAAAGAGTCCCCTGACGGGCTCGACGCTCTCTACGATCAGATGCTGCAACAAGTTGGTGCTTCGAGAGATTGTGACCTCCTTAAGCAGATATTAGCCGTGGTCAAGACCGCCTATCGCCCTATTACCATCCGGGAACTCTCGCGCCTCAATGCCGAGATTGCAGAGATGATCGATGAGGTTGACGCCGTGAAGGTGCTCGTTGGTTCTTGCGGCTCGTTCCTTACGATCCCGATGACACGATCTATTTTATACACCAATTTACCAAAGACTTCTTGTCCACGAAGACTGCCGTTTCATTCCTTGCTGACGAAGTTGACGACACCCATCACCTCATTTTTTCCAGATCACTCAAAAGCCATGTCGGTTGGATTGCGAGGCGACATATATAGCTTGAGTAATCTAGGATGTCATGTCTACTTAATGCAACCACCGACCTTGAACGAGCTGGCGCCTCTGCAGTATGCTTGCAGGTACTGGATCGATCATCTTCGTGGCTGCGTTTCAAGCTCGGCTACATGCAGTGTCGACTCACAAGACCACGAGCTCGTTCATCAATTTCTCCGGAAAAAGTTCCTTTGCAGGCTCATAGCCCTCAGTGTATCTCGAACTATGTTAGAAAGCGTGCTATCAATGGATCGACTCTTCGAGCTTGTGAATGTACGTAACAACCATGCTGCCGTGCGTGATGAGTGCTGGGCCCTTTTACAGCAGACAAAAGAAACGTCACAGCTGGCCGAGCTTATTTAGGACATGTGGCGTTTCATGCTCACCTACAAACCAGTTATAGAGAAGTATCCTTTCTAGGCGTTCGCATCAGCACTCCTATTCTCCCCCAAAAACAGCTTTACACGAAATCTTTACAAAGATCAGGAGTAAAGCTGCATCGTGGTGAGGCCTAACATCCAAAACAAATGAAATAACTGCCTGTTAACGCTTGAAGGCCACAGTAACTCGGTCACGGCGGTCACGTTCTCGCACGACTCGAGTCGTCTGGCATCGGCATCCCGCGATGAGACGGTCCGGATCTGGGACGCCCATAGTAGCGCCTGCCTGTTAACGCTCGACGTTGGTTGGCAATGTGGTGAAATATCCTTCGTCTTTAATGACTCTTATCTCAAGACTGACACTGGTATCATTGACATCAGCGCTCTATCAGGTCCAATAACAGCCTCTTTCGATTCCAGACCGTCGTCGCAGCGCTATCGCGGTTTAGGTATCAACGCAGATCGTCAATGAATCACATTTAATGCAAATAATCTTACATGGTTACCTCCTAAATATCGGCCAAGGATTTCAAGTGTCACATTAAATACTTGCGCTATTGGCACTAGACGAGGAAAAGTATGGATTATTAGATCACAGATGTCTCGTGCGCGATCGTGATAGTTATGTAGATAAGTATACTAAATCCGCACGTAATTACTGCCACTCTATTGTAGTGGAAGCATAGAAGCGTATGTCTAGCTCTATATAATAGAGAACTAAAGAGCCACCTAGGTACTTGTTGTTACTATAACGTACTACTGATTTCAAGGTGTAATCACACACTAGACGCTCATTAAGAGAGAAACCTATTTAGGGCTTGACCTAATACAGCACGATGAAACTCATAAAAGACCCACCTTAGTGCCTAAAAAAGAAAATTATTCGTACCTTACCGGACGTCGATTTCGTATATAACTATACTATTATTAAGAATTCCTTGATAAGTAGGCAGAGTCTAACGATAAGCGTATATATAAGTCATCCCTATAGTATATAGTCGATACTGTACACGACTCAAAGTATAAGAGAGGAAAGAGTGCGCCTTCTATGCGGGGAGTGTGCTAGTAATAAGGATGCACTCCCTAAGTCGCATCTCTTAGCTGGTGGCCTAATTATTTCCCGATGTATTAAGCGTCCGTCCTTCCGATGTTTAGCCGAATTTATAACACTACCTTTCCCTTTAAGCTTCTTATCCCCGAGAAGCTATAAGTAGTAGGCTCGTCGCACTCGCCTCGTATACTCTTTAAGCTATGTAGTACGGAGCGTACTTCTTAGTATTCGTGTATATTCGTTCTTAGCGATACTTAGCTAAATATCTATATTTATAGTCTTATATATATAGCCTTATATTGTAACAGAGCACTTCAGGGTTTGGCGTGCACGTGCAACAACGCACAGAGGCCTATCCAGCAGATCGGGAATCGAGAACGCGTTTCTGGTTGATACTGACAAGATAACACCACCAACACCACCCAGAGGGGCAGCGACTAGGGCTACAAATACTTAGCACAGCGGGAGCATCGACGGACAGAATAGAACTAATAAAAAAAACACTTAGGAATTAGGTAGACGGCGCTAAAAGCCATGGAATTCATAATGCTCTGCTCAATCTCTAATAAATGATACACTATTAGCACTATAAACTATTCTATACTTTCTTTTATCAGCCCATTTAGATTTAATATATAACTAGATAACTTTTCCTCTCTACCACCGCTCTACTAGTCTAGTACGGCCCATTATAGTATAGCTACCTTACCTTATTACATCTATTCCTCTCTTATTTATAGAACGACCTCGTCCGATAGTATATAATACACTTAAGAATTATCTAACTCTATTATTACCTAGAGAATAGATCCGTAGCACTATAAGAAGAAGCTCGTAACGGAGGTAGATTCTCCTCTCTTATTAGATTCAAAATATAAACTAAAACATTACTAATAAATATAATAAATCTACTCGATCTATATAAGAATATCGAAGACGCTCTTAATATTTCGCTTTAATAACTACTTTATCTTAAGATCGAGTTTATTTCTATATTAATATTACTCAATAATTCTAAGGTTCGCTCTTAGAATTCTCTCTTAACTAACTAAGTAACGCGAGAAAAGAGAGAGTTTACTCTTCGCGTTAAGATTCTATTCTAAGAGTTATTACTATTATATTCTAAATCTATTCTCTCTTCGCTATATAAGTTAATATAAGTTTATAATATTTAGTTCGTATTTTCTTAGTTAATGAAATTAATAATACTTTTATCTAGAGTAATTATTATAATAGGCTTTAATAGCTATTATCTACTAGTTTCTACGCGAGATAATTATAATAATAGTATCTTTTTATTCTTAATAATAGCTTAATAAATATTCTAAATAAGTTAAACTTAATAGAAAGTATTAATTTTAACTTCTTTAATAGTTTTAATATTGTTTTCTATAAGAGCTCTAACTTAAAAGATAATAAATATTCTATAATTATAGTTATTTAGTTATTTATTAACATTAATATTCTAAAATATAAACTATTTATCGTCTTCGAGCTTTACTTAAACTTAAGAGTTAAGATACTTTAAATTAATCGAAATTATTAAGTCTTTTACCGTGCGCTTTCTAATCGAATTTATAGTGTAAACGATTTAAGAATTGAGATCGACGTATATTAATTACTAATGATTAATCTCTCGATAGAGAATTAGTTTCTTCTATATAAACTTATCTTATCGCTACGATCACGGCTAAATTATAAACGTAAATATTTCTCGAATATTATATAGATAGATTATATTTTATTCGTCTTTCACTTAGTACTTTCGGTAGACCGCGATACCTTTAATAACGTAATTTATAGATAACTAATCGTTATAATCCGTACTAAGTAAAAGATATTCTAATTCTTTTTTATCGATTATATATTCTCCCGAGTAGTAATTCCCGCCGCGAAGATATTTCTTTACTTCGCGACTATATTCTTTATAAATTTCTTTAAAGCGTCTCGAATTCGCTAAATTTCTAACGTTTCTTTTTTAGCCTTTACTCTTTCTATAATTCGAATTACTTTAAGAGTAGCGTAATACTAAAGAAATTATCTCGAATTAATATTAGTCGGTAATATCTCGATTGATCTTTAGAATACTCGTATAATAGCTTTAAATTCGTACTAAATTACTTTATTTACTTATCGTTTCGTTAAAGTATCTCTACTTATATTATACTTAACTCTCTTAAATTAGTTTATAATAATCTTCTATATTAGTTTTTCTATATTAAAAGAATTTCTTAATAGATTTTATTTATATAGTCTTATATTAAAGAGCGAAGATAACTCTTAAAACTCTCTACGAAGATATTTACTATTAGTAATAATTTCTTTAGCTTTCGTAAACGCTTATTTAATGAACGAGAAGTATATTTACTTAGAAGCTCTTACTCTTATATCTAAAGATATTCTTAGAACTAACGATATTAATCGCGGTCTCTTTCTAAACTAAATCACTATTTTAATGTATTCGTTTTGAATTTCTAATTACTTTTTAGTCGCTTTCTTAATTACGACTTCTCTTTTTTTAATTTTAATAAGCTTTTTCATTATAGACTTATTCTTAAAGCAATTTAAAATATTTCGCTTTTAATATCTCTACTCTTCTTTCGGCTATTTCTTAGATACGGTCGATAAAGATAAAGATTTTATCGCTTATTCTTAAGAGTTCTTTAACTAATTCTCGATTTTATCTTTCGTTAATATCTTACTAGATCTCTTCTCTATAGATTTCTTACTAGACGATTTTATAGTTAGTTTCTTTTCTATAATAAGGTTCTATTCGACTTAATTAATTTAGCTAATCGGTATCTCTAGGAGACCCTCGGTAAGAATTAAATTATATATATTTAGTAACTCTATACTATTTAGCTAATATAATCTATTCTTTAATTAAAGATAATATTTTAAACGCGTAGCTATAACTTATGAATGTCTATAATCATTTATAGTGTTTCTAAAATCGTCTAGATTTAATTATATCGTAAAGATATCGATTCGTTGCGATACTGACTAAGAAAACTTTATATCCGTGAGACCGGCTAGCCGCTTCATTATTTAATAATTAATTCGATATAATATATTTATAGATATCTCGTTCCGTAGCTTAGACGCTATTCTTATACACTAGAGCTTCTCTAGTGTATACGCTATATTACTTAGTTACTATATTATAATATCTTCTTAAAAATCTTCGGTTATTTATTACCTAAACTTTCGATTAACCGTATCTTTACCGCTCGTATTCTTTAGAAATAGAGTTACATTTTAACTTCTAGTATAATTAATATCTTTAATGAATCTTCTCTTAATTTCATTATATTTGTGGAATATCGCCCTCTAAAGGTTTATATTAAACCTTTAGTCACGTAATTAAATACGAAGTTTAAGTTCGTATTTAGACCTAGGGTCTATGAAATTACGTAACTAGTGCGATATTAATTTCGCACTTTATTAAATGATTAGTCGTGCTTACTAATATTGATTTAAAATTAATATTTTAAGAGTCTTAACTGTGAATACTTATTGTCTATATAAAGACCTTTATCCTCCCTAGGTAGATAGTTATCTTTAAGTTCTTTAATAGTCACTTACTTATCTATAAGGTTTACGATCTATATAAGTCTTATTATCTATACATTAGATAGTTCTCTAAGTTCTTCGAACAATATTTATTTCGATTATTAATCGCTTCTTTAATTAATACTTAAAATCTTTTAGGCTTCTTATTCTTAACTACTTTATTTTTAAATACTATCTCTAATTCTAGATCGTCTTTAATATAATTAGCGATTTTTAGTACGAACTTTTTATTTAACTATTATATTCTTTTAACTATTTAAATAGCTTATTTAATTTATTTAGTTACGTCGATTTCTTTTTTACGGTATAATACTAGTATTTTCCGTAATGATTTTTGTGGAATATCGCCCTCTAAAGGTTTATATTAAACCTTTAGTTACGTGATTAAATACGAAGTTTAA